CTTTTTGCAGGGATGTTTTGCAGCTTTCCTACTCTTTGCTTGGGCAGAGAAAATATGCAGGTTAACAGCCATGACCCAAATAACCTGAATGTTTCTAAGCAGGTAGCATTTCTACCTACTACCTGCTACTGCTACCAGGTAGCAGTAGCATTTCTCCTACTTGAAGCTGGTAAAGAAACAGTGTCTAGTCTACTTCATGTATAAGGAAGATTTCACTTATTACTGAAGCACATCCCACCAAATTGGAGCCACCATTTTACACCCAACTTGTGAATCGGGGCCTGCCTACTTCAATAAGGTCTGCGTAGTGCCCTGCACAACCAAACCCAGATTTGCATTGAGGCTTGTGGATGATATCCTAGTAAAGGCATCACCAAAATAAATGCAAGTGACAATAATTAATTCTTTGTAAATCACTTTATTTTTTACTCAACATGATAAAAACTTGTGACAGTTGAGTCAAACTGACAACTAAAAAGAAAAAGAGAAAAAAAAATCATTCTTTACTCTTGAAAACCACAGTATTCCATTATAAGTTATGCCCATTTTAACTCAAGCCAGCAGTGCTTTTGTTTTGTAGCACCTAATACCACATCTTCAACAGAAGAGAGAAGAAACCGTAACTGATTAGTAGACTAAACATAAGGCTTAAAAATATTTTTCAGGAGGTAGATGCCAAAAAGACGATACTGCTGCTATATGTGGCTCTTCTCAGATCTTTTAATGCCTTTTATATGATCACCAACATCCTGCTGTACTTCAGTAACCTGAAAAGGCTGTGGCCACTCCAACTTCCTCTTGCTATCGTCCCTGGCTCACACCAGATTAGATCCTTTCTTCATATGAGAAGAGAATTTTTTTCTTTTTGCTATATGTTGGCAAGTGGACAAGTACTGAGTCCCCAGTGCTGTCTTTGTTTAGCTATGCTGTCTCACTCTCCCCTCACTTCTAACAGCAATATCTGAAACAAATTGAAATAGCAGAAGTTAACATGCATATTGGGTGTCCATGTATTTCAAATGCGATACATAAATAGATAAAATTGTGGTATGATGATTTTTGCATTGACATTTTCCCACTGGCTTTCTTTCAATTCATGCAATCTTTATTTCTGCTGCACAACATCCTGCTGGGTGCACTATATCTAATAATACACTAATTAACTTCTTACATCTTGAGGGGGAAGTTTCTGCTTGACCCAGCACAGTGATCTGAAACATTAATTCTCTGAAGGTATTTATAGTGTAAACAGGTATTACCTGACAGCAGAGCTGCAGTATCCTAAGAGGCTCCATTTGCAGTGATTCAAGGTCACCCTGATAAATCTGGACTGCACTTCTGCAGCTGATAGCTCAGGTCCGATTTAGCCCCCTCATTCTGCTACTGTGACCTATTAACCAGGCTGTACATCTGCTGTTAACAGAGAGATCACTAGTTTATGCTAAGTAATTCAGGCAGAGCATTCCAGTTCTTGAGCTATTGGAAATACTGCTGTTTTAGCCAAAAGTAGCAGCCTGGAAAGAGCTTTATTCCACATCCCGGTTTTTCCTCAAAAAACCCCAACAAACAAACCAAACCCACACCAAAAGACATTTTGGCCACAACTGTCAAGCGCTATTCCAGACACAAAGAGAACAAAAACTTCTCTGACAAAGTTTCCCTCATCCACCAACAAAATATTGTCAAGTTATACTGAAAACACTGCAGACTAAGGCTGATTGCTCCACAAAGCTTTAGCCCCCCTTGTGACAACGGAACTAGAGAGGTTACAGGGTTCTGTTTTCCTGACGCGCATTACTGTGATGTTTGTCGAGGCATTCCTCCTGCCACAGCAGCACACAACTGGTGATTAAGGCATCCTTTGGAGAGAATGCAGCAGCTCGTTATTAATAGGAGCCAGACCTGCACTCCTGCGCCAGAATATTAATTCTCTTCCCTTACCCCCACAGGACTTCTTATAAAGAGATTCTTATTTTTATTTCTTTAATCCCTACAATGTGTGCGACAACAACTTACAGCCAGGCCAGTCAGATACACTCGGTAGATGGCAGGGCATTCAAGATGATGGCATTCAGTGGGAACTGGATGTCCTCCTCTGTTGCTCAGAAGGATTAGAAACCCTGCTTGCTTGTCGGGTAGTCAAATTACCTCCAGCAGCTGGAAAACCCATAGGTAGCTTGTGGAGGCTATAAATGGACACTGCAGCTAGTTGGTAGTGTTTCTCACAGAATAAGAGAGAAAATTGTATTTTTGTCAACAGGCATTCCAGACAAAAGGCACAGGGTCTTTTCTCAGAATGCTTGCTGAAATCACACCACTGTATTAAGTAAATTAGTAATTATTTAACATTTTGGCTGTGTCACTATACTATGAAAGGAATAGAAAATAAACAAGGATCCTCTGAAGTCAGTTGAGTCACAATTCTACTGACATGTCTTTTGTAAAATTAGGTGTAACTACCTGTTAACACAGAAGGCGTTCTTTCTTTTGTCTTGCAAATATGCAAACAAGAAAAACGTCAGCGATCAAAATAAACAGAAAGCAACAAGTTCCACAAAGTGTGAAGTGAAACAGTACAAGGTGGACTAAGGAAATCTATGGAGAAATTTTAAGAATGAGAATGGTCTGAACTTCATCATAGAGTGAATGGAGAGGGGTAATCAAGATGCAATGGACTCACTAGCAAGCTTTAGAGAATCAGGCTGAACACCTTCCCAGGCTGGAATGGGGTCAGCTAGTAATAAGAAAAGTACCAAATGTTTCCAATTTCAGAAAAATGCACTACTTCAAAATTGTATTAATTTTAAAATGTTACCTCTTCATAGGCCAAATCACATGATTCTGGACAAGAAAACCACCCCTACGACAAAGTCACCATATCCCAGTCAGCTACCATCATAGTTTCCATGCATGAACTTAAATTGCTCCTGCTGGCACCATCCCCTTTATAAAGGATTGGGTGAAGAAATGTCTTAAGAAATCCATAAGGTTGTAGATTGAAGATTCTATGTACTGCAGCATCCTGCACCATAGCAACATAACTAAAACCTTTATCAGAGGCTGACCCTTTTTTTTTTTTAAGATCTATATTCAAGAGAAAAAAAAGATATTTGCTACAATCACAAGGATACATTTACACAGTACTGTGCAATGTTAGACATACAAAGTAAATGGCTGTGAACTAGGATCCTCACTGGGAACAATGTTGCAAACCTTGCCTGCACTGTGGTCTACCCTGGATATCGTCTGCTGATCCAGAAATGCTTCTCAACTCTCAAATTCCTAAACATAAGGA